ACAAGGCAGTGGTGTGTTAGCACAAAAATAACTCCCCCCTCACACCTGTCTCTCCTTGGTCTTGTCTCCCTGCAGGTCTCTCTCTCTCTCTCTCTCTCTCTCTCTCTCTCTCTCTCTCTCTCTCTCTCTCTCTCTCTCTGCCTTGGAGCTGATTCAGACTCACCGGACAGCGGACAGCGTAGAACTGCCCCTGTGGGTCTCCTCACAGGAACAGAAAGGCTCCTGGGGGGTGGAGGGGGAGCAACCAGACGCCTTTTCAAACCCACTGCCATCAAGTTGGTTTCCACTCCTACCCCTCCCATAGAGGGCTTCTGGGGCCGTCAATCCTCCTGGGCGCAGACAGCCTCCTCTTGCTTCCGGGGAGTGGCTGGTGGGTTTGAACAGCCAACTTAGCCTTTAGCAACCCAAAGCTCCCCGTCAGCACCATTAAGGCTCTAGGTACTTTACAGGGTCTGGACATCCGTATTCATGTTTGCTTTCCATGTTTAACCTTTGGTGGAAAACGTCAAACACGTACAAAAGTGGACAGACCCTCTAGGAAATTCGTGTCTCCACCAAGCTTCATCCACAATCACCCCCTTGCCCTCTTTCCCCTTCTTTTCTGCTACTTTTACTTTTTGCTGGAACATTTTTTTTAAAACCATTTCATTGTGAGCTTATATGGATATCATAACATTCCATAGTTCAATCACAACCGGCAGTATTGTATAATTGCTACCACAATCAGTTTCAAAACATTCTCCTTCTTGAAGTCCTTTATATCTGCTCCCCTTTACCCTCCGTCCCACCCCCTACCCCCGAAACCTTATTCTATTTGGTGTCTCTATAGGCTCATCAGTCCTGGGTTTCATGTACTGAAACATGGAAAACAGGTAACAAAAATGGAAGAGGGTTACCCCCAATGACAAAGTACATCTAAGATAAACCCCAATATGAAAAATAAACAAACAAAACCCCAAACCTTAAAAACAAAACAGAAACAGAAAATGCTGAAAACCAGATCGGGTCCCCCATGCATCAGAGGGAGGCACACAACCAGGACTGAGTGTCTTGTCACCTGCAGGCAGGTCAGTGTAAAACAGAACCGGCACTACCAGGCCGGCCTCAGGCCAACAGAACAGCTAACGCAGGCAGCGAGGGGAGCCCCGAGTGAACCTGGGACCGGTGAATCCACTGGAAGAACTCCACTGGAGACGTGGCCCTCATTGAAAGGCAGGAAGACGGCCAAAGTAACCCTATTCTGGAACATCATGCACCAGCGTGACAGGCAGAGAGAAACCATCACGGGGCCAAGAGTTCACTTGAGTGGAAAGAGTAATTGGATAAATGGTTGAATTACCTTAATAGAAGTACACTGGCCAAAAAATCCCGC